CACTGCTTTACTACCCCCCCCCAAAGAAAAAGCAGGAACAAATTGATATTAATTTAACTAGTTAATTTAAACAGATCTATTTCACCTATAAAGCACTTTCATTTCACCTATAAAGCACTCCTAACATTTCCGGGAAGGCAGTATATGCTCCAGAAGAATCTTCAATATATGCTCGCAAAGATTACATTGCTTTACAAAAAAAGACAGACCGTCCAAAATTCCAAGCTAAAATACGCATAAAAAGACAGCAATGGCAGTATTTTGTCTTTAAAAAATGATGCAAATGTTGTATACCTATCATACATTTTCATGCTTATTAAAACTACAGTTAAGGACATAGGAGATGTACAGTAAATACACTGCTGAGGTACATTTCTTCTAAATATTAACACCATCACAGAATTACTCCCCAGCAGGTGATGCTACTTGGGAACATATAAATACAATTTTTACATCGTAAGGCACTTTTACCCAGCATACATGACAAGATGAAGTAAATGACTACATGAGTTTGAGGCTTGTAACAAAAAGAAGAAAAATTACTTCTGACTTTCAGTTGCCATGAAATTGAATGAATGAGGGGTTAGCCAGCCCATCTCAACACAGTGAGATAACAGGTCACCAGCCACTTGCTCTTCTGCTACTCAAAGGTAAAGTGCTGTTATGGTTACTAGTGGCATGGAAGGGAATGATTTCACATCAAATGGATTATTAGATTATCAAATCCAACAACTGACACAATATGAAATAGAACCGAGGCAAAAAAATGAAAAGATTATGTTGGCATATCTACTCCAGGTACCTGTCATCCTTCATTAATCAAAAATACAGTAGTTGCAAACAATGAAAAGTGCCTTTATTCATGTCTGAGGCACACAACGTAGAAGCGATCTAGAGACACATTATTTTGCATTCTGAAACTGTTCTGTGTGGTTGAAAAATGTTCATCGTCTAGAAAAACAAACATCTTGGTAAACAATTTCATCAACCGATCTGTCATTGCAATTCAAGTCACACTTTTAATTCTGAAAATTACAAATACAAAATAAAAATGGTCAATGGCATCATGTTTAGAGCAGTAACTGAATCTTTTCTGTACACTGCAATTTTTCTACTAAAACTGCATTATTCCCCAAGAAAACAAACAAAATGGAGGGAGTTCCAACACAGTAACGTGTAGAAACTCTCATATACAACAATTGAGTCCCTTGAGACATTAAGGAAATGTGAAAAGACAACGACACGCTAAATCTTAAAAACACAAGTAAAAATGCTACGGAAATTTATATTACAAATGAACTGCTTTTGTAATGTCAACTGCAGATGAACCTTTGCGGTTTCTAGCCAAATTCTCAGTGTATTTTGCTTGCAGCTTTACTTCAAATCTTGAGGTTTTACTGGGTTTCTAGAATGAAACAGTCAGAACCCTATCTAAACAATGAGGTGGCATGATAGCATTAGAAAGACTTGCACGTTAGATTAAATTTTTGGTTTTATTTCAAATAAATCTGCTAATGTGCTTTAACAGACCAATGGAAGAAATTACTAGGAACTAAAAAAATGCCAGTTTAATGACAAAAATTAAGGAACTGAGCTGCTAGGTCTGATTGAACCTAATCTGGATTATTCTCAAATGGAACATCAAGCTCTAGCATGTGTCACTCCATGACAAGATTAATTAAATTCTACAAATCTTAAGAATCTTAAGCAGAGAGTTTCCTCATATAGTGGTCACAAGATTCAAAATAAATATTGATCTATGGGAAAAGCCATATTCTCATTCTTCTTACATCATGGGGGCAGCCTGTATATGTATTTTGGACGAAACATGAAATGTTCCACACAACACAGAACATCTGAGGTATGGATGTCAGATATGGTGGCTAAATTCCATAACGAGTTAAAAAGAGTAACTCTTCGAAATGTAAAGAGGTTGGGTTGCAGTGTCCAAAAACGAGTATAATAAAGGCTTCACTCACACTCAGTGAAAGGTTCTTGGTATACTAGGGAAGCAGAAGAGGTGGATCGTTGGGGAACGAGCTACAGCGCTTTGGCATGAGTGCTGCAGCTCACAGCTCATAACCAACACCTGCTCAAGAAAATTGCCAGCAAGGAATGCTGGGCCGTATGAGCAATCACAGCAGGAACAAACTGCAAGGTTCAAGCATGCTTCTGTGTACATCGACTTCTTTTTCTACTATGTGCTTTGAAAGCAAAACAGAGAGCAGCTTTTCCCCACAGACAGCCTCCATACTTGGTTTACGAAGAAAACGTGAAATGCACAAGTTACCAGCTTCTGGCCAACACGGACGTGTCCATGTTGTGAACTGAGCTTGCTAAGACCTTCTCTGGTGCATGAATCCACTAAACAACTTACACATTCCAAATCTTAGATTTTTATTCAGTCCAGAAATATAGATCTTACTTCATTTCAATGTCTGCCTTAACTTTTGACACTGTACATATTACATCTCATTTATATAGTGTTTCAATTTTTTCCAGACACTGCAGACTACAAACTACATAATATTGACATGTAAAACTCTGCCACTTATTGAAGGCTCACAAACATGAACGTTTCAGGCAGTTCAATGAAATTTCTAGCAGATTTGGGCAGTAAAAAGTTACTGACCCTTTTCTGATCTTAGAAAAACAATTTAAAAGAATTAGTAGTTATGGATGTCTTATTCATTCCCAGTTCTCTAACTCTGTCCCTTGAACCTGTTTAAAAAATGATGAAAACAACAGTAAATTTAAAATCATACAGAACAAAGAGAAGAGCAACTAACAGAACTGATATTACATCTACAGTTAGTGACAAAAGTCAGGGCTTCCTTTCTTATATTTTTACAAAGCTGGCTGGATAAAAAAATAAAAGAAAAAGAAAATCAAAAACAAAAGCCTCTCGGCAAATAAAAATGTTCCCCCACTCTTCTACGGCATACAAATAAAAAGCACTTATTTGTATATGCTAGATTTAAACATTTTACTGCAATAAAGTATGCCAAATGTACGTTGAGTGTCTCAGTCTCAGTAACAGATCTGTCAGGACCAACTTCCATACCTAGTTTCCATTGAGCTGTTGTTGAGGAATGTCACTATGGCCAGTGCCTGCTTTCCCACGGCTTTTGCTCTCTCTTTCTTCATCTTCTTCATCTCTTTCATCGTTTCCACTGTGATTTTTACAATAGAGTCTAACATAATAAAAGAAACAGTGGGGGAGTTACTAGCAAACAGGACAAGTTACTTTATGCGAGTACTTTTAGAACATGTTGGGCTTCCACCACTGCTGAAGATGCACATTTTAGACTTTTACTGGATAATTGCACAAGGCATCAGACAACATCTGCAACAGACATAATTATCAGCTACCTTGCTTGAATCATTAGTCAGAGACTGAAAGACCTGGTGTAAGGACAAGTACAAGATAATTCAGAAAGAAGAGAGGCAACAGCTCCCAACTGGCAGAAGATAACAAAGAGGCATTGAACATCTCTTGGGTAGGAGCCTGCCAAACTGCCATAGCTCCACGTGCCTGAACAGGAACTGCATTATGTGCTAAAGACCAGAGGAAAAATGCAGATCTCCTTCGGGAGCACTTTCCAAACCCAGTCACTGGACTGAGAAGGATCTACATAGACTAGACCTACATGACTAGCCCCACCCAACTGAAATGGCTGCGCAGACGCACACAACTTGAACATCAAGGGTTTGATGTAGCAGTATGATTAGTATTCATGGATTCTACTTACAAAAAAAAAATTGTAAGAGCAAGCATTATCTATTACAGAAATGAGCCTGCACCACTATAGATAAGGCAGCATTTTCATTACTCGGTGGCCTATAACTGTACTGTGCAAACTGGTCTAATCCCCAAATAATTAGAAACTGTCAAAATGAACTGATTTTTACTTTTGATTAAAAAATGCTGCAAGAACTGTTGAGCTGATTAAAGTAAGTGCATTACATTCAGCCCTGCTCTTCTAAGAGAGTGAATATGGCCAGTACTTTCTAAATTCAAAAGTTACGTGGTGTATTTCCTCCATGATATGATGGAGCTTAATGACAGAATGGAGCAGCAATTCTGTTTATATAAAAATAAATTGGAAACAACTGCAATCCCAGCAGGAACATGGGTTCTCAAGAGTTTTGCAATATGTATGCTACAGGGGAACTATTTTCATGATTTTTTAGCTGATTAATCAGTTTAAAACCATTAAATGGCATTGAAATAAGCAAAGAAAAGCAAGGCTCGAGTGCAGCCTACACAAGCTAGTGCCGTTAGTAAAATACTGAAAAGGATCCATCCCAGTGCTTGGGGATTACTGCTACACTGCTGAGAGAGCACCCCCTTGCGGCTAGGCCAAGGTGCAACATTAGCATCAGCTTCAACGGCAGCAGGGTCACATTAATAAAAGACGGAAGCAGCTGGAAAAGGAGATAGGGGGCAGTTTAGGAGTGTAAAAAAATAACCAAGTAGATATGTCAGTTATCCCCAAGAAAATATAACACAGTAAAAATTTACCAACAACTTCAGTCATTTGAATTTCAGCTCAATCAGGAGGAAATATATTTTTGTATACTTCCTATAAAAAAACACCCGTTTGTTTGTAGCTATGCAGACGTTCTGAATGAAGTTAAAGCAGTCACTAAAATATTTTGTATATGTATAGAAGTTATTCTGCAGTATATTCACTGAAACAGTATTTTTCCTATTTAGTAACACAGTGAACAGTTTTACACAGAAAAAAGGAACTATTTTCACTTTTGCACATACATTTATCCTCATCTTGATTTGGTAAAACAAATCAGAAGAAATGCATGAGTCTAGTGGGCTGAACATCAATCCTCTCCAATGCCATAAGCTGTGGGGTCAGCTGATCCTGGCTGATGAAGGGGCAGTGCTTCTTCAGAGGGGCCCAGAGTCCTCTCAGTGGCTGGCTGGTGTGTTCTGCTCACGTGCTCAAGGTCGTACTAACCTGATATGGGCTGGAGAAGGATAGCCTTCCTCTATAGGCTATGGACTGCTAATCAGCTCTCTGCCACTGACTTCAGGCAATCAAGACACCTTGGTCTGTTCTGTTCGCTCTCTGGCACACAGTTTAGTTTCTATGGACTGGAACAGTTGGACCTCTAGTTTTGGGGTTTAATGTAAAGGACTCAGGTGAATCCTGGTAGCCTGTAACATGCAGAAAGTCAGACCAGATGACTTTAGCAGTCCCTCTGACCTTAATTTCTATGACACCACAAGATCCCTGGTACAGTTCGGCTGTTGCCTAAGCACTAAGAACTCTCTGAAAACAGTCTGACCACAAGCCCTTCATCTAATTTAGGGAGTGTTGCCTGCAGCACCCATCCAGTTCTTCTCATTTATTTGGCTGGGATGATGCAAGCGGAAGTGAAAGCTGAAGTGCAGAGAGTAAAGAAAAATTTTTTGTAGTGCTCCATGCAGGGAAATTTATTTTTGGCATTTTACAATTCAGGATTATTTACAATAGAACTTGGGTTAGTTAATTTTGCTAAGGCACTTAAAACTGGCCTTTTCCAAGCTTTTAGTGAACTAGATTACTGAATTATACTAGTCACCTTATCCACATTTCTGAGCAATTGTTCAAAAACCAAAGATATGGGAAGACATGCACACCCTTGGTTTTGTCTTTAGAATGTAAAAGCTTGGTCTTTGTTTGAATACTGGCAAAGACAGGACAAGTAAGTTTCTTTGTTGCTTAATGCTTCCAATGCAGCTGAAAGACACAGAAATCACCCTTACTGCATACTTGGTACTCTGTTTCAAAAGAAAAGTGACTTTTAAAATTAAATACACCAAAGAGGAAAAAAGTTACTTTATACAGGCTTAACAGCTGTATACATTCTTACTTGTAAATTCCTCGTGACATATTCTCAATATACTTTGCTTTGTCTTCTACTCCACAGTGGTAATGGTAAGTCTTGATACAGGCTTTAATTTCACACCCAATGGTGGCACCAGGTTGGCTGCAAAGCGTGCATTTCTGTTGAAATGAAGAAGGCAACACTCAAAGTTATGCTCTTAATCCCTTCCATATCTAGTCATTTAGCATTCAACTTAATCCCTTGACATTCAACTAACATGTCACCATGAAGTGCCAAACTTTAACGCTAGCCCAACAAGAGCAGCAATTTACCTGGTATATTACCCTTGGGGTACAAACTTAATTAAATTTGTAATAAGCCAGAAACATAATATGGAAGTAATTAAACTAGGAATAAGAGTACAGTTTATCCATCTGCTGAATTAATATGTTACTACAGGACGGAATACATTGATATGGTTCTAGACTATATTTTATTGCTCCTGAAGCTGAAGCTTAGGGTTTTTGAAATCATAGAAGTTGGGTTGGAAGGGACCTTGTAGATCTTCAAATCCGACCCCCTGCCTGGGCAGGAGAAAAAATTGGGCTCAAATGATCCCAGCCAGGTAGGCATCAATCCTCCTCTTAAAGACCACCAGGGTAGGAGCCAGCACCACTTCCCTTGGAAGTTGGTTCCAGATCCTAGCCGCCCTAACTGTGTCTAATCTAAACCTCCTCTTCAACAACTTGTGGCTGTTATTCCTTGTTATGCCAGGGGGCGCTGGGGAAACAAGGTCTCTCCCAAACCCTTCTGCTCCCCCCTAGTGAGTTTATAGACGGTCACCAGGTCCCCCCTCAGCCTTCTCTTGTGAAGGCTGAACAGGTTCAGGTCCCGCAGTCTCTCATCGTCGGGTCTGTCCTGTTTGTCCCCGGATCATGTGGGTGGCCCTCCTCTGGATCCTCTCAGTACGATATAATAATTTTAGGCAATGATCTAGCAAGAAATTGCCATTTGGTGTAATCATAAAACATCCCTGAGAACCTGTCTCCTGCTCTGGGGTTTTAACATAATTTCAGTCATACTAACATGCCACCATGAAGTGCTGGAGCCCCTCCAAAAACAAGCATATGCCAACAAAGGCCACAGTATTTTCTCCAACCAGACACATCAACAGAGTCTCTCCACACCTCAGATTATTGTGGCCCAAAGGCCTGGGAGAAGACAGGCACTGCAGGTGCCCAGGTGATTAGCAACCCTGGACGTAGGAAGCCCTGCAGACAGCTCCTCCTCATAGTTGAAGACCAGGAGGCCCGAGAAACCAAGCAGTTTTTAAAGAGGAATTCATGAAAGATAAGCAAAGGATTCATTCACGCTGTCCCTTTACAGTATATTGAGAGCAAACGTATAGTAATTGTCATTTGCTAAAGGAGTTTATTCCCTTGGCCTTTTTGACGTTTTCACAAAACATCCATTTTTGGTCTGGAAAACAAGCCATCAAGCTTGTTTTCCAAGGGCCAAACAAGCTTCCTTCGTGAGGTATACTGTAGTGAAAACATATAGTAAATGCTACAAGTAACCATAGGAATAAAGTGGTCAAAAGGGATAAGCAGGATCTCACGCACGCTCGATAGAACCAATAAGGTATTGATTACAAACCCAAAAGACACATACCATTCTTTTCCCTCTCTTGATCTCTTGAAGTACAGTTTTAATATCAAAATCACCAAACTCTGCCCTTGATGTTGTTGTTAGCTGGACAGTGCCAGAAGAGAACAACTATAAAACAAATACATTTGAACAATGTCAGGTTAAACCACAAAAAGGTTTAGGTACAGAGGTAACAGAAGGGGACATTCTGTACTAAACTGCCTACAGGAAAGAGGTGCCTTGCCAATAAACTTGGGAGAAAACTGCACACTAAGCATACTGGCAATCTGCATATACCTTCCAACACTGGCTTTAGTTTCATTTGGTACATTTACAAATTTATTATAATAAAAACAACAGGTAAAGCAGTGGGGACCAACCTTTTTGACAGGCAAGCCATGACTTAGTCTTGCACCCTCCCCAAGTGTCACTCTGATCCTCTTCCCCTACCTGATCTGCTGCTCTGCTTTTTGCTCCCTGCTCTACCTGCCACTGTGCTGCCTGTCCCCTCCCTGATCTGCCACATGCCACAGATGGGCTGCCTGTGCCACTCACATGCACCACAGATTGGCCACCCCCTAGTAAAAGGAAGATTAAGATGGAAGAGATGCAGCAATAAAAAAGCACTGCAATAAATGAAAATGCTGATCAGATCATGCATTTCATCCCCTTTGCTGCGCCATCTAACCTATTCCACTGACTTGTCTTGTCACTCAACCTCCTGGGAAAGGCTTAGAAGGGGAAAAGAGGACAATCCCAAGTCAGAAAAACATGTGTCCATTACAAGTAACATTTATTGGCTGAGTGCATTTTGGGTTATAGGAACAGCAACACCATTCATGTGTTACTTTGACTATACTGCATATACTATAAATAGCTGTTGGAAGATTTCAGCAAAGAATCTGAACTACCCTGGACTTTCCAACAGTATGAGGCCAAGTGAAAAATTCAGGTCAAAATCCAGGCTGGGTAATAATGCTCTACTGACATATCTATTCTCTTGGTTGGACGTGTCCCCTAGTGGCAGGAGAGAAAATAGCCCTACGTCCAAGACAGCAGGCTAAGATGCAGTTAAGACTTCCATTCTAGCCTCTATCACAGACTACTGTGCGTTGTTACTGCGCAGTCATTTAGTACTTGCATACCCAAGTACTAAAATGACTGCCCAGTAACAGGTGTTACTGCACAGTAGCTTCCCTGCATGGCTTCCTGGCGATGCTGACTTCACAGTAGCTCATTAGTAGTGTGCAATAGAGTTGCATCACAGTTCGTGCCCCACAACGCTGCTGTGCCATAAGCATTTCATGTAGATGCGGCCAGAGAGTAACAAAGCCCATCTCTATCCTCAGGCTTTTGCCTAAAGGCATGAGATTGGAAGGCAGTGGTGTGTTCCTTTAGGATGGAGTCTTTTAGTTCACACTATTTTTTTGGTTAAACACAGCCTATGTAGCTACAGAAAAGGGGAATATTTATAAGGAAGCTGTGCATCTCTAAGCATAGCCAACTCCTACTGTTGCCTGTGGTGAAAAATAAATGAGTTGTTCATTTGACAACACATTAGTACTAGCAGCTTACTGGAAGCACAGGTTTTATTAATGCATAATTACATACTAGGGCACAAAATTAAAATAAAGTAAGACATTTCAAAAAGAATCAGAATGCTGTGCTAATTAATAACAATAGCTTGACTTACCATGCACTTATAGTGTGCTGCTGCCTTTTTAGCATTAAATATATGAAGCTTTCCTCTAGCTTCATTTTCTTCTTCACCTGCATGACAGAATCCACATTTAGGTTTTGTATCACTGGGGCTGCTTCTGTGGGGAGACCTGTCTCTCTGAAAGAAAAACAATTTACTAAAATATACTGCTTGGTTAACAAGTGTGGTCATAATTAAAAAGACTACAGCCACCATCTGGAGGCTCAAACGAATGCAAATGTTAATCAAAATATTTAAATTTCAAAAAAATGATATATGCAGGTTTTTTTTTTAAGTTTAGCATATTTACTGCTTACATAGGAACTGCTTTCTATTTCATCTGTGCCATGTGAGGATGTAGATCTAGTGTCTTCTGACTGCCCTTTTAAATTTGTTTTCCTTGGCTTTCCCTTCCGACCCCTCCTCTTCCCTTTTGGTGGTGAAGGCTCCAATTCGTGTTCGTTGATACCTTCTTCTAAATCTGCTTAGAAGCCAGAAAACAACATCAAGAAACGATCCTCACAAATGAGCACTGTTTAACAAAACTTTAGATAAGACAATGATAAATGGCTTCCCGTTTCCTATAAATTATGATCAGATACAGAAATGGTAGCCCTGATTTCCAGTTCATTACAGAAACATAACCTTTAGTCTTCTACTATTATACAATATGACTGTTTACCCCTCTGAAAACAACCAAGTCAAATACATTCACTTTACAACATGTAGTACATTTAAATCCTTTGTAGCAACATTCAGTTCAAGACTAAAATCTGTCTTCAGATATACAAGTTCATCTCCCATTGAAAGTAATGGGAACTGAGCAAGCATCTGAGGTCAGAACAGACCATAAGCATGTGTAAACTAATTTATTCTACATAACCCGTTGCCTTCTATTAAACAATTCAAGTACTATACTGAAATCAACACTGGCTGTTTTCCAGAATGATGACTCACAAGGGAGAGGGACAGAGAGACCTGGAAACCCAGTGTCAATCACGTATTATCTTAAACCAGTGGTTTTCAACCTTTTTTCATTTGCAGACCCATAAAACATTTTGAATGGAGGTGCAGACCCCTTTCAAGCTAAGTGTGGGTATTCACATAGTTTCTGTTGATCATAGTCATCTTTCATGGACCCCTTAGACAGTCTGGACAACAGGTTGAAAGCCACCGTCTTAAACCAATCACTCTATAAAGATGCATTACTTTAAAGCTTGATATATTCATAACTTTAATAGAAAAACTGCTCTCTTTTGGCAGCTACAGTGAAACTAACTCTTAGGATGGTAATTATCAGTTATCTTTACAAATAAACTGGGAAACACATCTGCCTAGTTACTTTTAGTGACTGTCCATTTTCAAGTCTACCGCTGGTGGTTGCAACCATGTTGCTGGGCAGCAGCCTCCACTCAGTACTGGAAATATCCCAGCCCAAAGACATACGTAGATGATGTTAACACAAAGAATATTAACAGATCTTTTCAACACTAATATATTAAAGAAAATGGCAGCTGGTTAATGTTGTTGCATTTTCAATCTGTGTCAACTATTTAATTTATTCTCTTGATATACCAGTATTGCCTGTTCTCAGCACTTCAACAACCCCGTAAGTTTTAAGTGTACACCAACCTACAATAATAAAGTAATGAATTTTTAAGAACTTCATCTTATCACTATACTAAAGCCTGATTTTGTTTTGTTTTTTTAAGACCTTATGACTCGGCCTTCTTAGATTCCTCTGAAAATGCCAGCAATTAAGAAATCATGATACAAAGAACTGTAATCAAACATTTTACTGAATCCCTTTGATTATTTAAACTATGTAGTTAACACACACCTACTGCAAGTCATGTTTATTTTTGTCGCATGAGTGGCTTATGTTTAATACCGAAATACTAGCTTTGCTGTACTTGGTTGCTAATCATTTTTCTTACAATCAGCCCTTCTGATGACATCTTTTTATAAGACCAACATGCAAAGCTGTAGATGAATCTGTCATATGCGGACACTGCCTATTCCTCACCATTCACGAAACAAAGATGGAGATGCAGCCCCAAACAGAACAGAATCACAAATCAGAAAAACTGGATCTCCTGATTTTTATATTAATGAGAATTTTAGTATTTTTTTTTCAAATTATTTAGGCATTACTAAGGTGTGTAATCTCTATAGTATCATGGCCTCAGTATGGAAGCAGGATTAATAGTTTCAGGACTAAATACTGTAGCACAAATCAAAGGACTCCAGTTTACATTCCTCTGCTTCTTCCTTGATCTATTATGTCAAATCAAATCTAATTGCATATGATGCATTTCACTCCCATGGCAAACACTGCACTTACAAAGGTCAATTTTCTAGCACTTCAGTATGCCCCACCAATACTAAATTTAGTACAGTAACTGAGCTGCTGGCCTGAGCCCAAGAATAAGATTGGTAAGAACAATTCTTAGTCTACCACAGCTGTTGTCAAACTCCAGAAGAGCTAGATATTCTTACATATTTTTAATGAAAGAGAAAAAAAATCCACCTTCAGCTAACATAAATTATACTCAGATATAATGCATAAAAACTAAGAAGCACTAACAAATTTTGGTACAGTCTGGAATAAACATGCCAGATTCAAATATACACATTTCCCCAGACTAAAACATGAGCATCAACCTACCTAACATTACCTTTAAGCAAGTCTAAATGTCACATTCCCCAGATTAAGATACAGAGCATTACAGCTTCCTTTTAAAAATAAAATATGGAAGGACTGATGGTGTAGTCAAGCGATACAATTCACAACTTCCTAGTTAAAAACAGTCTGTGTACTACAAAGATATACTTGTTTTACTAGTCTAGTTTATTTTTTCATTTCAAATGACCTGTTCAGTTCCCACAATCAATATGGATGTCAGCTCCAATATCCAAAGGAAACCTCTTTCTTCAGACTGGTTGTGACAAATTAAGTCTTAGAACTCTGTGCTCTTCTAGCGAGAAGAATCCTATTTTGTCTCCTCACATGCATGGGTCCTCCAATAATAAAGAAATATTTCCAAACCTTGTCCTGTATTTTTCACTGATAAGAATCCTAGGTGTTTCTTGTAACCACAGGTAAAAACATTCAGTCAAAAGTATGGATGTTAAGTTAATGTCCCTTTAAACTTCAGTTAATGAGAACTTCATACTAGACTGAATGTCATCAATCACGTTGTCCATTTGCTTATATATGTAAGGTTTTTCTTGAGTTCCTCATCAATAAATGGATCATCAACCAGTTCTTCCTCCACTCAGTCCACCCTCCTTTCGTGGTAATCAATTTTTTAAACACCCATCCTTAAGATCTTTAAGACACCACACTACTAAACATTTACAATGCTAACAGGCCATTGGTAACTACAAAACAAGCAAACACACATGATGAAAGTCAACTTATTTTTTAATATATAAAGAACTGTTACAGCCTCCAGAAAGAATCTTTTGTCCAATACTCATTTTGTGTTTTTTTTGACAGTTAGGAAACAAAAGATTTCAACAGTAAATAGACCATGCAATTTTTTGACAGCTTCATTATTTGGTAATATAATACCATAAGAAAGAATTCACGGTTTTCCTCAAAGGATAGTCTTTCTGTCCCCAAACAGTTCAGAATTCACTGAATTTTATGACATTCATGAAAGCAGTCTAAATAAATGAACCCCCCAACAGATTAAGGCCCCAGTACTACAAACAGTGTGGATTTAGGAACTCATTTCAGTGGGACTCTACAGAGACATGGGGTTTTGTGCTGGCACATCTGTATCCTGGACTTACGCCTAGAAGATTACACTCTCTTTTATTAACAGCACTGTGAACTAGTGTAACAGTACAGAAAATAAAGAGGTTAAAACCAGACTTAACAACACTGCCTTGGACAGTCTTTACTATTCAACAGACAATATGGTTTTTGCCCTACCCCTCCCCTCAAGCCCACTGCCAAGCTTACCCTGTTTCCCTGGCATCTGATGGTTGGGTGTTTCCAACTTCTCATGTCAGCTTGAACTAAGGGAAACACAAAAAGTTGTTCAACACCTCCCTGACCATATGAAGTGTTATCATGGGTACAACCCATAGTGTGAACCCACTAGTCTCCCTAAATGTTCTTTGACTGCCCCCCAAGCCCCATTACCTTCATTGATTTTTGAAATGGCCACAATAGTCTCAATTTATCATTAGACAAAAGTTTTTAATGGGAAATTCTTATGTCTTATAAACTGCCCTCAAAATTACCTAATATACCATAACTAAAGAAGTGGGCCTTATATGCCTGATCCAACAACGTATTCTCCACCAAAAAAATGCCCAAGGAGCCAGTCTATATTTCAATAGCCCTAAAAGTATGTTAAATCAAGAGAGGCAATAACAGAGGCAATAACACTCCTTGAGAACAGAAAGGAGTGATAAAGAATCCCGTCATACTTATACTTCAAAATGCCACTAACAGAACCAAACAGTACAAAAAACTGATTTATGGAATTATCCATTCGTTGGGCTATCAACATGGAAATCAATCACCCTCATCATGACAGCTAGAAGTGAAGGTCCTGAATGTTTGTCCTGCTCCAGCATGGAAATAATAGTATATGCTGAGAACTATTCGCCTATCCTTTACCATAACAATTTTATTTGTATAAGGAATCCTTCCTCATTAAAAGCTAGCATTAAAGCAAAATATAGTGATAGCAAAGTAATTAAGATTGTGACAAAAACCAGTAAGAGGAAGACATGCAAAGCAGAGGATAACAGTAAGCTACCTATTTCAATACCTCACACAAAACACCTAGTGCAAAAAAAAGCCTAAGTCTGATAAATGCAGATGATACTGAGCAAAATTAACTAGCAACATTTATTAGCGAGAGATGCTGTAGCTATAAGGTGCCAAAAGGTTAGGCATTGTGAAGGTAGTAGTATGTACATCTAAAAGCAAGCATCTGCTTTAGTTTGTACAATCCAGTAGGTCACAACAAGTAATAGAAAAGCTCTAAAAATTATCCAGAGCAAAACTGGCAATGTTTGAATTTTAAGAAAGAGGACAGATTTAAGGAATAGCTTCAAAAAAGAAAACAAACACAGAAGCAGAGAGGTAGCTAAGGATATTTAGGTAAGATAACCTTTAAGATACTAGAGGACTGAACAATAAATTACAACATGGCAATATAATTATTTTTACAGAAAATGAAATGCCAGAAAAGGTAAATAGTTTCTTTTCACCTGCATTTGACAATGAGAATGTGAATGCATCCATAACGGCAAATGAGGATACATTAGTCATTGGCATATAAGAGTGGAAAACAAACACCTGAATGAGATAGATGCACAACTCATGAGGCAGCAGTAGTGATATACAATTACATATCAAACTACCCAAGTTACTTTTAAGAAATGTTTGATAATGGAGAAAGTCTGAGTTACAGGAATACTACAAATATTTCCCATGTATAAAGAGAGATTTAA